GTAATATTTATCTCCAAAGGTGTGGTTCGAAATCAGAATGTTACAACACAGGACTGTAGTAAAAACAACCAGAAAGCTGCTGAACAAGTGGCTTTCACGTGGGATTAGAACTTGGTTTAACCAGATCTACAGTGCTCACGCATTCTTTTTGTTAATTGTGCAGTTAAATAAATAGCAAATGTAGTTTTTTGTATATCATTTTTATTATAATTTTTTTTTTACCATAGTGGTGCCTAAGCACGCTCATATGGACTGGACACGACCCGCTCTGCAACCTGAGTGACAACTGCTCCAAACAAATAAAATATGACTTTGTTCCATTTTACTGTATTTCTGAGAGTAAAATTACTCACAGATCTGTTTTTCCTCTACAGGTAATACCGTTACAGAGATAGGTGCAGCTTACATCCATGGCCCATCTAAGAAGAACCCATTGTTTTGTCTGGCTCGTGACTATGGCCTCCTGGATCCACAAGCCCTCAAACCAGAGAACCAGGCCAAGCATTTTTATGAATATCCCCTCCCGGTTTCCAACTGGTTCAGTAGTTCAGGTGACCAGATGTAGAACAACACATCCTGTTTTCAATCATCATGTTTTCTGTTCATGACTGCATGTGTGCACTACTGATAATATATAATATAATGACAAACCTAATGCACCCTGTAGTCTGTCAGAAACATACAAAAAGCACAATGTGATTGTTATTAATATTTTATATTGTGCACATACAGGTCAAAAGCTGAGTGCTGAATGCATGAATGATGCACTGGAGATGTTTTATGAGCTTTTGGCAGAATCCTATTCTCATAAGAATGACAAAGCAGGTGCCAGTTTTGGACATTTCATACGATCACAGGTACATTGTCGCTCAGTCACCAGAATTGTGTTCCTGTTGCTAAGATTTGAGAAATTCTGGATGACAAAATGAAGCCTGTTAAAAAATGCTGAGTTGCTTGTCCATGTGTGTGCTTAGTGTAAACGTTTGGTTTCATTTGCAGGCACAGAAAAAGACTGCAAAGAAGTGGAAAAAAAAGGATGAAACCACGCGTCAGCTGCTGCTGTCTGCCATCAGCACCATGTTAAAGTTTGAGTGTTGTGCAAGTGCGACTCCCTCCATGGATGAGATCGACCTGGCAGGATTTTCTATGCACAAGGGTCTGAAGGGAGTGGACTGCACACTTCCAAGGTTTCTACTCTACCATAGTAAACATATTCACAGATGTCAGCTAAAGATAAAGCCTTTATTGCCATTGTGCAAAATACAATGAAACTTGTGTGATAACTCAGCAATCAGCAGCAGTGCAATACGAAATACAAATAAATAAATACTAAAGGGTGTAAACACATATTTTAAACAGTACAAGAGAATGTGTGTGCTCAGAACTTTTTGGCTCCTCTGCAACAGGACAGGATATTCACCATCCTGTCAGGTGTGAAGAATCAATTAAGTAGCGATAATTTAGAAAATGTCAGCAGATTATGAGGAAAATACATTCTTTTGCTTCCACTTTGTAAAGTTAGAAGATCTGTTGTGCTACTTTGCTTCAGGACAGTAAACTGAAGATATTTTGACAACATCCACTTTGGCTTGTACATGATGTGTGTGCTTGAATTGAATCAGATATGTTGCAACTGTACAGTAGAGATCCTAAATATTCACCAACAAGGATGCCCTGCAGCTCATTTTTAGACACTTCAGCATTGTGCCAACTACAAAAAGAACCTTGTTAGGCTGATGACATGCATCCACTGGTTTTGTCTTTGGAGACGCATTAATTCAGGCTGAACGTTGGCAGTACAGTTTTCAGCCTGATCACACCATGAAACATCTTAAATGTTGTGTAATATGTTGTTGTGATCCTTTTGCTGGGGCTCAGTGGGATATTTTTTTCTAGAGGATATCAGGATCATATATCAGGAGTTTGCTCAGCAGTCAGCAGTAAACTGAAATTTCCAACATTTTAAACTTTCTCTTTATCACTTTTGTGTCGACACTGGAGGTGTAGAGTCACACAAATGTACATGCTTGCAATTATAACATGTATAAAATACGCGTGTGCATCCAGGGAACTTATTTATGCTGTTGTCTTGCAGGGGCTATGAAGGCCTGATCCAGAAGTTGTTGTCCGAGCTCCCCGCTGATTTAGTGACCTACAATCGGCCTGTGCGCTGTGTCCACTGGAACAACACAGAGAGTGGAGAAAACGCCGTGACAGTGGAGTGTGATGACGGGGAGAAGATTGCGGCTGATCATGTCATTGTCACAGTGCCTCTAGGTAGATGTCTGCTCATATACTGTGCTATTGTTCATCTCAGAAGTGCAGAATATAAACAGAATTACTGTAAATTTTATGTGTTTTGTAAAAGTCTGGCAGTTTATTAGCACCTTTTGTTTCTCAGGATATGTTAAGAAGCACCATTCAGCCCTGTTTCATCCTCCACTCCCGACCCACAAGCTGCAGTCCATCCAGAAAATGGGATTTGGAACCACTGACAAAATATTTGTCGAGTTTGAGTCACCGTGGTGGGATGCTGGCTGCGAGATCATCTACCTGGTGTGGAAAGATGAGGTCTGTTGTGCAGCCATGGACCACAGAATAGATTTACAAGCACAGAAACTGTGATCAAAAATCAGACTTTGATCGATTTATTGTGCAGCACATTAGAAGTTTCTGCACCACTTTAATGGTATGATTACATTATCATGCATGTCTGACACTTTTAAAAGCTCCCTGTTCTCATCAAATATACGCCACCACATCATTTCTTCATTGTTTCAAAACAGCAGTAAAGATGTTATCTTCCTTATTCTCAATTTGCAAATTACATAATAATACTGTAGGCTCCAGCGCCCCTGCGATCCTAGTGAGAATTAAGTGGTGTGTAGATAATGGATGGATAATACTTCATTGATACTTTGTTAAACATTAACTTTTGTTTTTACCCTTCGTGTCTTCAGGAGGATTTTTCAGACCGTGTGTCTGATATAAGCAAATCCTGGATAAAGAAGATTTGTGTATTCACTGTAATCAAACCTTCTGACAGGTCAGCAACATTTTAGTCACCAAAACAGTCACAGTTCTTCCCTGTAATGTTTTATTAGCCATTCAAACATTTTTTTTTTAAAAACAGGGTCATACCATATTTTCCTTTCTTACATATTAAATTCTCAATTGCAGCCACGTTCTCTGCGGCTGGATTTCTGGGCACGAGGCTGAGTATATGGAGACACTTCCTGATGACGAAATCATGCGTTCCATCACAGAGCTCATCCATACGTTCACAGGTGAGTCTCACATCTGTAGCTCTCCTCACCTTAGTGTGGATGAAGATAGAGAATGAGATGTTTAGTTTTTCCATTTTATAGAATTACAAAACGATGAAAGAGTAACGAAACATTTTTTTAACAGCATTTCTAAAATATCTTGTTATTATAATGTTTTAAACAGCTGAGGGCAACCCAGTAGTTGAGCAGTTAGTGTTCATGCTACATCGGCACAAATGCCGCTGGTTTGAGTCCTAGCTGAGGACTTCTTCATTCATGTTGTTCCCCGACTGCCTTTTTCCACATTTTCTGTTTCTCTTCACTGTCCCTATGAAATAATGAGTCAGAACGTTATCTCTAAGTTAGTGTTACATTAACTCTGATATCTTTCCAACTCAGAGCAATGCTTTATAGAAACATATTTCTGGTTGTATTTACCACAGTAATATCAATACAAATGTAATTCACGGGTCAAAAGCTGGTAGTCATGCTTGTTGCAGCTAAAACATACAAAAATCAGCTTCAAGAA